TCCCCCACCTTTAAAAGTGAAAATATTGAGACTCCGAGAGGTCAGAGGACTTCCTCGCCCAAGGTCGCGCAGGCTTGTAAAGGAGTCAGGAGAGTTGGGATTCGAACCTGAGTCTTCAAGGTCATTTCGTTCACTGCTGCTTTCAAAAGAGAAAGAATTTGGACGCTGGAGATCTGAGCTCCTTTTCTGCTCCTGGACTTTAAGCTCCACAAGGGCAGGGAGCAAAGACCCCCTCCGCTTGGACCCAGCGCGGGCACACAGCAGGGGCCCACCACCGCTCTGCTGGGCCAACAATGGAAGCAGAATCAGTTCTTTTGCAGGGAGGCCCCGGAGCTTGCGGACATCCAGGCCAAGCATGGACATTGTGCGCAGTGGATGTGGACGCGTTCGGGCGAGCTCTGAGTCCAGGACCAGGGCTCGGCTGGGTCTTGGGCTCCGCGCCGCGCTGAAACCTGGTGAGGGCGGGCGCAGCTTTAGGGACCTCGGGCGCCAGCTGCGCTCCAGCCGAGCCTCTGCACGCACACTGCGCACGCGCGGCGCCGCCAGGCTCCGCCCCCCGAGTAGGGACCTACAGCGGGCGGCCGCGGAGGCGGCAGCGGTGGCCTGCGGCCGGCGGTGTAGACGCCCCTTCCCGGGACCCGGACCCGGCTCGGTGAGTGGCTGAGTGGGAGGACTAGGGTGCCGGGTCCGCGTGCGCGGGGCAGGCGGGGCCGGGCGGGGCCGGGGTGCGGAGGGGTGGCGCGGGGCCGTGCGGGGAAAGGACAGGACGAGGCCGCGCCGGGCAGGCAGCCGGGGCCAGGTGGTGCGGGACTCGGCCCCGCGTGCCCGAGCCGCCGGCCGGCGTCTTGGCAGGAGGCCCCGGGGCAGACGGGTCTCGGCAGCGGGCCCCGGGCTGGGTGCGGAAGAGAGGGCGGCGGCCTGGAGGGGAGGGGAGGGGGCGCCGGGCCGGGGGTGGGGGAAGGGGACGCCCGGCAGGGGGCTCTCGCCGGGCCGGGGACAGGGAGTACGGACCTCGGGGTCCGGGGGTGGCGGCGGGTGCGCAGCCGGCGACCCCCGCTCGACCGCCTTTGTGCCGCGGCCGCGACCCTGTAGGCTCGCCCCGAATGCGCCGGGTCGCGACCCTTGGCGGCGGCGTCCGGGCTGCGGGACGGCCGGTGTGGAGCCGCCGAGCCCGGCCTCCTCCGCCCGCCCCCAGCGTTTTAAATGATGCATCTCCTGGGAGAGTTCCTACCGGTCGGCTCCGAGCAGGAAGTGTCGTCAGGAGGCCATTTTTAAAGCCTCCTGAGGGCCTAGGAGGTCAGCGTTGACGTGGTCCGGTTTTCAGTGGTTAGAAGAAACCCCTGCGATCCCTGGAAGGGGCCCGGACGACCCCTGGGGACGAGGCTGTAAACCCACTGTATCCGCGCCTTCCCTTCCTAGCAGCCGCGCTGTGAGACGTGAACGGCCTTGGATAACGTGTACCGTCGGTGTGTGTGCCAACAATAAACTTGAAAACCAGACTGGCATTGTCTTTCCTTGGGAGTTTTGGGGCATGTGCCCGGGGATGGGCTTGTCCATCTTTTGGTGGTGAGGGTGTAAAGGGAGGATAAAGATGAAGGTGTGACTCGGTTCTAAATGCTGATGTCACTCTTTGTGGGATCTCCCCCATCTCAGCTGCCCTTTTATCTTGTTGCCTTGGGGTCCTTGGGCAGTTTGAGGCCAGGAAACCACGCAGGGTGCAAAAGAATGAAAATGCCTAAATCGGAAAGGGAAAGCCAAAGGAGAGAATGAAAGAAAACACTTAAATTCCTCTATATATGTTGGTTATTCCGTGTATCCCGTGAAAATACGCTTGATTTTAAAAACTGGGATAATGAACAAGTTGATCAACCTAACATGAAAAATTAGAAAGTGAAATACTGAGCACTGTGTCCTGATTAAAAACAAACGTCTACACAGCTCAACTGTTGTGTTGGATCCCTTAAACATTATCCCTTAAGCTTAGAATTGAAGTCACCAAGAGTGAGAAAACCGTGGTCTCCAGGAGCAGGCAGTACTTCCTATAAAAGAGCAGAGAGAATCAGAATGTATTTCTTTATCTCTGTCTGAGTCAGGTATGCAAAGTTCATTCCAACCCTTGATGTGTGTGCACAGCAGGAGATACTGGCCCAGCAATTGGCGATTTAAAAACCAATATCCCAATATAGTCTATTTAGGTAGAATACAAATGTTTGGCTTTTTTAAGTTATATCGACGTTATCTTTAACCTAGGATGCATTTTTTAATTTTTTTTTCTTTCTTAATCTTGGATCTAACATAGCCTTGTAAAATAACACTTTTGTAGGTATCCAGTTTTGTTGTGCTGTTAAACATTCATTGTAAGGTGCGTTGTGAAAACAGACAAAGGAGGGCATTATTTTATTTATTGGGCCTCCTCCCTGATTTTTAAAAATCCAGTAATAGCAATTAAAAAACACACATCTGTCTACTGGTCTATTTGCTTTAAAGGAAGGGGATCTGGACCAGTTTAAGAGGAAAAAAAAGAACAAAGAACATTGTTATTGTCGCCAGGAAGGCTGATGTTTCTTTCATTCATTGACTCCATTCAGCTAGTGCTCATTGAGTGCCTTGTGTGACCAAGCCTGTGCTGTTGACTGTGATAAACAGGGTCCTCACCGGTGATGTTTCTCAGTCTTGATTGTTCTCAAGCTGCCGGGCATAGACTGCATTTTCTTTGTTCACATATTCAGACTTGGCCAGCTACAATCTCCATGTTCCATCCTGGGAGTGAAAGTGGCTAGAGCCCCCCAGATGGAGACATCCTCATCATAGGGTGGGGAGTGGGGAGGCATCAGAATCACCTGCGAAGAATTTAAGGCACAGGCCCTGAGCCCACCCCAGCAAAAGGACAATCTGATTCATTCATTCACCTGAGTCCTGGGAAGCCTTTCTGCCCTTTTCTTTTAAGCTCCCTTGCTTGAGAAGCACTTTGGGGGCTCATTCCCCTTATTTTCTGGAAAAGTGCATGAAGAAACCAAGGCTACACGGGCCCAACACTTAAACCCAAGTGTCTGGCTTCTGTTGCAGGGCCCTTTGTGCGCTGCCTTGCTGCCTCCCAGGGTTCTGAGCGTAGAAGCCTATGCCAGGGCCTGAGGTTGACACCGGCTGGGACTCGGTGCCTGAGAAGAGAAGGAAGAGCCCATGGGACTCTCCGTGCTTTTGACTCAGTCAGCAGCTCAGTGGCTCCGGGCAGGCAGTAAGAACAGTGCCCAACTATGACTGCAGTTCACAGCCCTCACACAGCAGGGTAGCAGAAAACACAGAATTTAGTCTAGATGCCAGCTGACCAACTCCATGACCTCAGAAAAGCCACAGTATCTCCAGATCTTACAAGAAGCAGGTAATTGGAGGTAATTGGTACTTTGAGGAGTAATGGATGTAATGTATGAATCTGCCTTCTCACACACCCCTTCCACCTGACTTGGGCCACGGTGCTCCAGGATTGGCAACACAGCCAGCCACTGAGAGCATCCCGATCAGGTCACTAGTGTAGCATTTACCACTTTACTGAAACCACCCGTTCCTCTCTCTCCATCTCCTGATCACACTCCTTAGAGACAGCAGCCTGCGGCGGGTGTCGGGTAAACAGCCCTGGCTCATGCCCATTGTACTCACACCATGCCAGGCGCATTTCAGTTTCCAAGAATCTGCAGAGTGGTTACTGCCCTTACACACTCCACAGACAGCATCAGTGATGATGTTTCCAAGGTCAAATGGCTAATAAGCAAGGGTAGGAGCCAGAGTCTCCCTGCCTGCTCACACCATTACAGTTCAAGGCAGTGGCCTTGCCTCCCCTCCAGGCACCCAAGGGTGGATTGGATTGGTATATAAAAGATTGCATAGGAGTGCTGATAATGGCCCTGGCCATTCCCCCATATGCTCCTCTCTACCTGTAATGTCCGGTAGTGATTCTCAACCTTGGCTGCACATTAGAACCACCTGGGAAGCTTTTAAAACTCCCAAAGCCTTCCACCCAACACAGTGGAGCCCAGGCATCATTATTTTTAAAGCTCCCCAGGTAAATTCTCTGTGCAGGAGGGTGACTAAACATCATAGGGACCTCTTTAAATAAGTTTAACATCCTGAACATATTATGACAAGTTGATTACCTTAATTCAGCCAAGGTTAAGAATCACTGATTTAGAATTATCTCAATTCTTCTTTGTTTAATTATAGTTTTTATTAAACTCTTGCTCCATTTCTTCTACAAAATTTTGATTTTAAGGCAAAAGTGGGGGGGTAGTACAAAGACACATTTGTCCTTCATTTTTATCACCTTTAGAGGCCTGAAGTTACTAGGTGTGTTTAATAACATAGAATTTTGTAATATTGCTTTTGTAGTACTACCTTGTTTTTACCTTTTTTCAAAAATGCTAACAAGAGCATATTTGCCTCTTAAATTTTTTTCCATGTATAGAACTGTAAGTTTTAGACTTTAAAAACTCTAGCACTAGTCATGTTCTTTCTTTAGAAATGTCTCTTATTTAAACTATTTTAAAAAAGCTATAATAATAACTTCCTTTGTTCTCTGGTGTAGTTCCAGTTCACGTGCTCAGAAGTGTCATTCAGTCCCAAGGTAACTCCCTTTGTAGACTGGAGGGTGGGAGAGAAGATCCTCACCTCCAGCCAGAGCACTCAGCCAGAGAGACCTTTATCTCATTAGGCTCGTTTGTTAAACTAAGATTCTGCTTCTCTGGGATTACTGGACTCTTCTACATTGGAAGGAATCTTAAACAGAAAAATGTTGACTTATTTGTTGTCAAAACATGTAGTTTGCCTGCCGAGCATAAGGCTACCTGCTAGCTGCATTATACCATTTCCTCACATCAGCCATGTAAATCAGGCATTGTTCCCATTTTACAAGTGAGGAAACTCAGGCTCAAAGAGGTTGAGTCCAGAATGACACGGCTTCTAAGTCAAAAACGTTGGTTTCAAACCTTGCTCCTGAGACCCCAAGGTGATTGCTCTTTTCACTCTATTGCACTTCTCATCTGGAAAGCTGAGGAATCAGAACAGGGGCTCTTGTTCAGCCTTCTTGCCTCTTTGTGTGCTGCAAGCATTACACTTGGTTTCAGAAGGAAATCTAAGATCTCAAAGGTGTACATTTGTCAGCAACATTTGGAAGTATTTTTTGCCATCAAGACGGCCATCAGTTTTCAGTTCAGTCATTTCAAGTGCAAGATAGATTAGCAAAAAGAAAATACTTCATTGATGTTTTTCATTGTTTAGATCTATTTACCATTCAGTTCAATTCTGATTCTTTGTAATTGTCTGGAAAAGTTCTCGCTGAGTGAGGCAACCGTTTCTTCTTAAATACTAACTTAACTGGAGAAACGTTGGCAGTTTACATACCTAATGTTGCATTGTTTCACTGATCAGGTATCACTCGTTTACATGCTAATGGTCATTTAGGGGTAGAATGTTTTAAAATTTTGGTTACTAGGAAACGTTAGTTAGACTAGCCTTTGCTATCTGTGGCTAAACAGACAAAAGGAGCAGAGAGAATTTTGGAGTGCATGTGCCACCAGACTGAGGGCTTTGCATGCATGATCCTAGTTTGCTTCTCCTGATTACCCTCTAAGTTTGATGATATTAAAGCCTATTTCCTTTCCTGACGATAAGTAGAGAGAAATCACTTGCTTAAGGACCCAGCAAATAAGGGGCAGAATCAGAGTTTAAACGACAAACCTGCCAACTCCATTTTCCCTCTGCTCCTCATGGGTGGAGCAGCTATACATTCCTGCCCTAGCCGTGGATATGGTAGAAGCCACAATGCAAAGATTTCTGGAAGAGCTTCCTAAATTTGCTTCAATGTCCAAAAGATACAGTCAGTCAACTAAAATTTGCTGAGTTTGCTGGGCATCTCTCATGAACAAAAGCTGGATGTGATGATCCATGTAGCATGCACATGATTCAATTGTCCAGCCACTTTTTTTAAACTTTTCTCATTAACATCTGGTGTGGGGACACATTCATTTGCTACAGGGGTAATTCACAGTTCAACTGGGCTTGGAGAGGAAAAGGTCGTTCGGTAACTATCAGTAGATTATATGTAAACCTAAGTTGTAATGAGCACTCTTGTAGTTAAAGCATCTTTTCCATGGTGATTATAATCACCTGTTGGCCCCTTTGCCACTAAGGCAAGGTGGATGGTTTGGCCCTAGAGGTAAATTATCTTTTAGACTGTGCAGCCAAGCAACTATAATTAAAATTATAAAATGAGATTCACTGTGTATTCCAGAAAAAGCAATTCCCAGGCAGCAAAGAAGCCTGTATTTTAGCCCCTTGGACTAATTATGTGATAGGCATTATTTCTTCTATTTTCTTCATAAAAAAGGGAGAAGAATACTCTTAATAGTTTTATGTGTAAGTAACTTATATAAGCACTTATAGTCACACTGTCCCATTTAATCCTCACGACAACCTTGTGAGGTAGGTGCTGTTATTGTCTGGTTTACAGGTGAGGATTCAGACGGTTTGCTCCAGGTCAGACATCTAGAAGGCAATGGGGCTGGGATCTGAAACCCTGTAATCTGACTCCGCAATCTGTAGCTTTAAACACTATTTTCCTGCTTACTGCTCTTCTGATTCTGTTGAGCACTTGATGTTTTCGGTATTTAGAAGTCAAATGCTTCCTTTTTAATAAAAACTTACACAACCTTCATGATTTTTATAGCCCTAAATGTCACTGGTTTCTAACAAACTGTTTTTCTCCATCTGTCCCCATGATAAATTTTTAAGAAACCAGGTCAGGTAAGCTCAGAGGCAGAAGGAAAACCCACCAGTAGTGGATGCTGCCCTTAGGCTTTTTCCCCAGAAAAGACAAGACTCAGTCTAGAGGAAGCACATTTGTCACACATTGTGCCCCTCCTCTCTGTGTGTGGAAGCCGCCTTTGTCTGATGCTGGAGATAATTCTGCGTTAAAAAGCTCACTTTTTGCTGTTTAAAAGCAGACAACTTAACATTAAGTAGCTATTTTATTATTGTGTCCAGAGTTAATAATATTAAGTATTTTCTGTGTTTTCGAGAACCTTCCTAAATGAACTTTAAAAAATGTACGTCTCTAGTTCTAGGAGGTCAGATGCAGAGGTTTTGTAACAGGTGTTGTGAGTGTGGAAGGTAGGTGATCACCGACACTGGTGTTAATCCTGATTGATTAGTGCCCCCAGCACCTCGCACACACACGGCCCTTTATCTACAGTGTTTCATGTAATCCTTGGTCATCAGTCCACTGGACAGTAATCTGCCAAGAGGATCCAGCTTCACAGGTGGTTGTACATGAATGTGAACCAGGGAGAGAAAGGTGTATGGAGGGAACAAGGTCTTGGGAGCCCATTTACTCAGGTGTGTCCAAGTATAAATGCCAACATCAAAGCCATCTGAGTTCTTATGTGCCACTGCGTCCATTTACCGCTGTCTTGGGGTGCTACATCTGAGATCTTTTTCACCCACAACTAGCTCCACATGTTGCAGTGGCCAAAGAGACCTTTGTCTGCTTGTTTTGAAGAAGCCTGACATCTTTGTCACCTGGACGGAGGGAAGTACCAAGGTAGAAACATGCGTTATTTTGAGAACGGTTTAAAAGCCAAGAAGGCACTTTCAAACAGGTGATGTAATTGGGTCATGGCCTAGTGTCTTGCCTCCCTGTTAAACTGCATTTGCTAATCACAGCCTCATGCTTCATATTGACACTTGTTTCTGTGGATTCCTAATTCAAAATAACTGCTGAGATGGTTTTGCAGAAGCACCACCAGGAGGCTTCTGCATTACCGAGGCACCAAGCGGGCTTGGTTAGTTCTCTAGAGAGAGTTCTCCTGCAGTAGGATGCTCTCCTCTTCTTGCTAAGGTATGTGATTTTATCGTTCAGTCTGAGATTGCAAGTCTTCAGTTCCAGGAGGAATGACACCTCCAAGTTTTAAAAGGATTTGGAGAGAAAATGGCAAAACTGCCTTTTGTGATTTTTTTTTTAAAAGAGCTGGTAAGCAGGTTGTACCAGGCAAGTAAGTTACTTTCTTTTCTTTCCTCCCCCTCTTTTCTTTTTCCCTCCCTCCCTCTTTCCCTTCTTACCTCTTCTTCTCTTCCTTCTTTTCTCTTCTTCTTCTTCCTCTTCTCTTCTTCTCCCTCAGGATTATGAGGCTGGTAGATCAGATGTGTACATATCGGCTGGTACGCACCTCTTGTGAACAGAATTGAGACAGGAAAGGAGCAGATTAATGACTGGTCTATCAGGGATTAAGTTGTTTGTAGCTCCAAGGTCAGGATATAAGGAAGTTACAAGAAGGTTGGTTTCAGTTTTATTTAAGGGTAAATTCTGGCCAGTAACAACTATGTGAAAATAAAATTAGCTGCCCGAAGAGAGAAGGAGTTTGGCTCATGGTAGTATTAGAGCATCAACTGCATGACCAACTGATGAAGATGTTTTAAAGGATTGAAATGTTGCTGGAAGTTTCAACCAGTGATTTCTGATGCTGGCTTTTCATCAGAATCATATGGAGTCCTTTTACAAACCATAAATGTCTCTTCTCCTTCCCTCTCCCACTAAGATTTAGATTCATGAGCTTTGGGATGAAGCCCAAGAATGTCTATTTTAGCTCTGATTCTGCAGCTCCTCCAGATTCAGGAACCACTGGACCAGATCCCCTTAAAGCTGCTTTTCAGCCTCTGCATTCCTTGGGCCAGTGGTTTTCTTAGGCTCTGGTTGCAGCCATTGCTTCTTCTATTTTAGCAGGACCGAGATGCCCACTTGAACATGTTGACAATAGTAGCATTTTTAGATGATAAAAAGTCTGCAACTTCAGGGCTAAGCATTCATCTATGTGAGCACAGATGAGTGAGCAGATACAAATGGGTGGCTGGCTTGAGGTCACTTCATTAGTGCAGAAGTTCTGGGTATCACTTCTGTCTCCTTTCACTAAAGCCAGTTTACAAATCCAGAAAGTGAAGTGCGTCAGCTTCTCCCAGTGACTCATTTGAAAGCTCTGCCTGCTGTATATGTACCAGGAGTACAGAGGAAAATGACCGTCCTTGTCTTTGCCCATGCCTGTCAGTTTGCAGTTTGAGGCATCCACATGTCCTGTCCTGTGCACAGTCCCCCTGCATAGGTGTGTGTTTGAACATTGAGGGGATAGGTTTGCACCTTGCAACCCCACAGGCCTCTGCCCGCTTGGTGTGTATTACATACACGCTTGGGTGGGGCAAGTCTGATTGTGTCCCTAGGTGCTTGTGATTGCATGCTGGGAGTTGTTTTTGAAAGGAGGCAACTGTCTTTTGCAAAAGCAAAATAGGAAAAGATACTACTGCAAAAGAAAATAAAGATTGTCATCAATGTGGTACGTTCTTACGGTGCTTTCCAAAAATGTTTTTAAAGGCAGGTTGTATGCTAGATCTGGATACGCAATAATTGTTTCTCTCCACCCCACAGCAAGACCTTCTGCTCCCCCAGGTCGGCCTTTCAGACTTACTTTGTACAGCTCTTGGCCTGTTAGCAGGGTGCCAGAAGGAAGCTGCTAATTCCCATTCGTATCGCTGCCCATCGTTGAACAAGCACTTACTGAGGCCTCTGTGCGCCTCTTGACATTCAGGGAAGTGTTTTAAAATTTTAAAAGTGTTGTCTTGTATTCTTTAGCGTTTTAGTCATCATGGCAGGACTGTGGAAGAGGTTGGATAAGTATCCGTAATTCTTATTGCCAGATGAAAAAACTGAGGCTCAACAGGTTGAAAGTGGTTTTTTTAAGGTCATAAAAGAAAGGCTTTTAGCAGGTCCCAAACTGGAATGGTTTTTGTTTAGTTCTGTGTATTCTGAAAAAAGAATACATAGTTACAGATAATTACCTATCTTTATGTACAAATCACTGCATTACACATATTGTGGTATTGGCTCTAGAAAACAGGAGCTGCATTCCAGGCCGCCTTTCTCCCTCCCCTGTGTCCTTGCTGCCATGGTTTCACCCTCTGAGACTCCGGTCCCTGTAGCCGCCGGAGGCAGTGGCTGGAATATAGATCAGATCATGTCATGTTCTGTTGCTGCTCCAGTCTCTCCCCGGGTCTCCTCCTCACGTGGGGAGAAGCCACATCCTTATGATGCTGCACCATAGATCTTCCCCTGACCAGTACCCTCCGCCCTTCCTTGCTCATTGCCCCCCAGCCTCAGCCTCCTTGCAGTTACTCAAGTGCTCCAGGCCCACTTCCCACAGAGCTTCCCCCTCCCTCAGCTTGAAACGCCCTCCTCCCAGGCTGCCCCGAGGTCTCTGCTCCAACATCAGCTTCTCTTGAGGCCCTTCCTGACTCTCCACGCCCCAGCCCTACAACTTCATCACATAGTTACACCCTGTCCCCCTTGCCTGGCTTTATGGTTTGTTTTCCCCAGTCACTTGCCACCATCTGCCAAATAAATATACAGTTTGTCTTCCCTCTCTGTACCATTATGAGGGGAGGGACGGATTTGCTTCTGGTCACTGCCCTGTAGCGCCTAGAACAGTGCCTGACACCTGATAGATGCTCAGTAAGATGTTGAAGGAATAAGTATTTGTCTACCTAGTATTGTCAGGATAGTATTGTCTTCTTACCACTTGTGAAAGCAAATGGGGCACATGAGAGAGAGAGTTGGGATCCACCCCATAACATAGAAACAAATGGACACCTGAGCGGGAACCCTGGCTCTACCACTGGTTAACTTGTGTGTTTAGAAACTAAAATGCCAGCCTCCTAAGGTTTTAGTGAGGCTGTTATGAAATTATACCTGTGAAGTTGCTAGAATGCTCTCAGTGACCCTTAAAAATAACTCACTCAGCAAAGGCTATTCTGAGTGACTGCCATGATTACCCCAGTATATCTATGTTTATGGTTGGCCTAAAGTAATGACTCTTAGAGGGGCGGAGTTTGAAAATGTTTTCAGTTTAGGCTGGTTATTTGCCAGTTCTGTTGTACTGTGTATCACTGTGTTTCAAGATAGTAGGTCAAGATTTAGCATAAAATCCCCAAGATCACTGAAATATTAGGGTAAATTTGGAAATACGTTAGCTAAACCTTAAGTTCATGTATTAATGATGCTTTGTGATATCATTTTTTCCCCTTTAGTGTTGCCTGGAATATCAGAGAATTGGAAACAGTCATATTTTGGGATCATGACCTACTCTGGTGGTTTGTGAAAAAAGATAATACGTTCCTGGGAAGCCAGCTACAAAGTATACTGAAGGATGCTTCCTAAGAGTTTTATCATGTCTTTCTGGATTTCAATGGCCTCTTTTTAGAAATGCAAATGAAGAAGATGAAGGATAGTGGACAGCAGTTATGGACTACACAAGTGGATGACGGACACAGTTCCTTGACCATGTCGCCCAAACAGCCTAATGCTAATCGAGCGACTCGCCCAGATAGACAAGAAGCTCAGACTCTTTTGTATCAAGTCTCTGAGGCAGAGGCTGCCACGATGGCCGTTGCTACATGCGTAAAGTGTAAAAGTGTGTACAAGATTCCGCTTCGGGATCTGAAAAAGGATACTGGCCAAAGCCAAAAGGAGGACAAATATGTTTGCTTCAAATGCAGCCTAGGTGTGGCCCCTCCCCATTTCCATTTTGTGAATAATCACAGTGCTACTCACATAGGAAATAAACCAGAAACCATCTCAAGTTCTGTCAATAACAAATTTAGGGTAAGGAACTTTAAGCCAGGCAAATACTATTGTGATAAATGTCGATTTTCCACGAAGGACCCTCTGCAGTACAAAAAGCACACACTTCAACATGAAGAGATTAAATTCATTTGTTCTCACTGCAGCTACATTTCCTACACTAAAGGGGAGTTTCAGAGGCACTTGGTGAAACACACAGGCATTTTCCCTTATCAATGTGAGTATTGTGACTATGGTGCTATTAGAAATGACTACATTGTCAAACACAGGAAAAGAGTCCACGAGAAGGCTGGTGGAAAACGGCTGCCCAAAACCATTGCCAAGCTGGAGCCAAAAAGAATCAGTGCCTCCAAGCAAAACCCAGAGCTTTTAAAAGCTTCCAGTCCAAGGACTGCGTTTCAAAATAACTTGTCAGATCAGCTTTCAGCGTTCTCCCTCCATTCAAATAAAGACAGAATGCACAACATAATGTTATTACCTGAATCAAAGGAGTACCAAAAAGATGTCGTGTGCATTCCAAATAAAGTGACGCTGTCAGAGCCCAGTGAAGTCAACCTGTTTGAGAACAAAAGTGTGGAGGTGGAAGTGTTATCCCCTGCAAAAGAGCCTGTTCAGCCGGGAATGCCATTAACGGTTGTGGCACCAGCGGAGCTAATCATCCCTGCAAACTGTTTAGCCCAGTTGATAGATGTGAAGGTTGTCAATGGAACACAGCAGCTTGTGCTGAAACTGTTTCCTCTGGAAGAAAGTAATTGCCTTGCCGCTGGTGGGGGTGATGGAGGTAATTCTGAACATGTGACTAAAGAGAAAGATTCAGGCGAACAGGAAAAAATGGCTTCTGCAGAACAAACAAAGTCACTGATGATCGAAGGGAATGTTGGAAAACTTGCGGGCATCAATAATCTTCAATCATCAGTTCAGAAACAACTTAAAAACGTGAAGTGGGTAAGGTCTTATGACTTTTTCACCTCAAATGCTAGCGTGTGCAGTGGTGGAGGATCCTTTCTCAACCCTGATAGAGTTGAGGGTTTGCAGAAAAAAGGTTATACATATCCACAAAGAACTGCTCTTCCTTCCATTGCCTTAAAAGGTCATTCTCCATCATCTCTAATAAAAAATGGTATTTTAAGTGGTCTTGGAACTACGTCAAACTCTTTTCCATATAAAGCTGCCTTTTCTTTTACTGAAGATAGAAGAAATTTACACAGTGACTCACAGCAGTTATTTCCTCTTGCTGCATCGCCTGCAACCATTTCCTTCTCTGGAGAAAAGGACTCACTGCCCCTAAGTAAAAAGGACGTGGAATCTAGAAATGAGATCAGTTTTCCTGTAAAAATGGTTCCCCCTAATAGGAAGCTGAAAGATAACCAGACACAGGAACACAAGGCAGTTTCAAATACTGGCCAGATTTTCTCTCAACATAAAAGTGAGTATTTACACATAAATGTAACGGGAGAAGATGGAATCAGACCTCAACAGTCTGGGGATAAACCTTTGGATTTAAAGAATTCTGTAAAGGCTAATGACTCCTTCGAAGGCCCAGTCATCTCATCCGTGTTTTCTCTGAGCTCTGGATCTGAAAACGTCCCTGAGGGCGTTAAGTGGAACAGTTCAACGTCCAAAATAAAGTCAATTGAACTCTTGCGCAGAAAGATAGCCCAGTTAATTGAATCCTGCGGCAAGCCTTCATCTTTGGCTGCAAGTAATGCACATCGTCGTTCTGTAGGGAAGGCACCTAAGGTCACTTCCAAAGCTGCCTCTGAAGGTATTCAGGAAATTAACGTGTCATTTACCAGCACTGGCTATTCTGCAGGTACTCTCCCGAAACCTCAGGATGACGTTGGTATTAACGGACAGCTTACTCATCAGCAGATATATCCGCACCTTGTAGAAGGCAGCAGTGGGAAAACCGAAAGCGGAGTAGCCAGGAAGCCACATTTGGCTCCTCCAGTATTGATCCCGAAGGGGGCTGTGCTGAGGGTTCTTAATTCCTCTGAGAATTCCCACGTTATAGAGGCTACATGTGAAGCACCTGTCAGCATCCCCTGCAGTGAGACACAGTTAATAAAACCCATTCCGTTCTGCCCAGTGAAACAGACAGACTTGGACTTACAGTCTTCGACAAGTGAAAGTGGGCCGGTAGACATGTCCCAGAATCATGCTCTCTCTCTTTGGGCTAAATCAAGAAAAGAGAGTGCAGATTGTAGCACCATGGTTAAAAAAGCTGGACCCCTGCATGGGCAGCAAGGAAGCGGTGAAGTAAGCAAGCAAGGGAAACTGTTTTCCAGAAGTCTTCCTGTAAGTAGAAATAAAACCAAACAAGTCAACTCATCCAAGAAGAAAAGCAAAATTCAGGCTGATCCCAGCCGCTGTTTCAAGGATCCTTCCATTTTTCAGGTTGCAAGACAACTTCGACTGATAGCAGCTAAACCAGACCAGTTGATCAAATGCCCCCGTCGGAACCAGCCTGTCATCGTGTTAAACCATCCTGATGTCGACTCACCAGAAGTATCCAATGTGATGAAGGTAATAAACAAGTACAAAGGCAACGTCCTCAAAGTGGTCCTATCAGAGAGGACTAGGTGTCAGTTAGGCATCAGGCGGCATCATGTCCGGCTGACCTACCAGAATGTGGAGGAAGCCAATCAGATAAAAAGGCAAATGATGTTGAAAATGAAACTTAAAAAAGTTCATAAAAACAACTACCAGGTGGTGGATTCCTTGCCCGATGACTCATCACAGTGTATATTTAAGTGCTGGTTTTGTGGACGGCTCTACGAAGACCAGGAAGAGTGGATGAGTCATGGCCAACGGCATTTAATAGAAGCAACTAGAGATTGGGATGTTCTTTCTTCCAAGGGCAAATAAGTGAAAAATTGCTCTTGGAAGAAAATTGTTTTTCTTACTTTTAATTGATTCTGGTTTGGTTTGCTTGGTTTTGTGTCCCTCCCTGACTCTAGGATAATACAGACTGCAGGGATGGGAGGTTGGTTCAGTCTTCAGGTCTTCCTGGGAATGTGGAGAGCCTGGCGTCTGAGCCTGGTGACCGGACATCAGAAGGTGTCTGTGGCCCCCGAGGAAGTGCACACAGATTCACGTGTGTGCATTTGTCTGGGGCGAAGGGAAACTTTGAACAGATTTTCAGTGGGATCTGAGACTTCCCTTTGGTCAGCAACCTTTTTCTGCATAGATAAAAATCATTTTAATCCATTCGGAGGGGCAAGTTTAGAATGTTTTACACATACTCTTTATATAACAAAATGCTACTGAAGAATTAAACCCAGGTCTTGGTGTACACATCCACTTATTTTTTTTTTGCATTAACTCATCTCCTGAATATTTGGTACATAATGGAAAGTATATTTTCTACTTTGTTAGTTATCTTAAGTTTGGTTATAGAAAAGTGGCCCTTCTTTTAAATCCCTCACCCACTCTGCAGTGTTGCTAAGTGTTCTCTGTAGCACAGAGAGTTGGGCTTTTGTTGACCCTTTTAAAGAATAATTCCAAAGGTTGGCCTGAATTTACTACAACAGCAGGTGTTGTTAGGGGAAGAAAGGAACATTTTCAGGCTTTTGCTTTATTTTTAAATACCTTGATTTATGACAGCTGGGGAGGGAATGTGCCTTTTGGGGGGAAAAAAAGGAGAAGAAAGGGTCACAGAGGGAGAATATCTAAAATTATCTCCTGTTTGCCCTTACCACTCTCACAAAAGTCAAGTAAGTCATCAATTTAAAATGTGAATGAACAGGCATCTTTCAACAGAGATAAAGTTTGGGGAGACAAATCAAGATAGATAGGATTGTGACGAAAGTTGTAGCTTTAATGAGACTATCAGTTTTCATTTGGGAACTCATCGCAGACCACGGGTGGAACTTGCGCACTGTTTTCTTTCTTCCTTCATCACCAGTGGATCACAGACACTGTTCCCCACCCCTGCCAGGTCTTATCCTGCTCTCCCTTGGTGGGTTTTCTGAACAGGCCCTCCTGTGAAATGAGATAGCTTCCCTGCTCACCTGCCCCTTTCCCTTGCCTGAGGCCCCTTAAGGTTTTCCCTGATGAAAATACTAAAAACAGGCAAGAATCAACAAAATGAACACCTCCCACCACCTCTGTTAAGCTTATAGGAACACTGTCCCTGGTTTTCATCAGTGCTACCAACCTGCTTCTAATTTATCTCAGCCGCAGTCAGGCTTTCCCTGTTGCTCACCTTCCCTGGGAAGCAGCTCCAAGAACACTCCAGCTACTCCTCCGCCAGCAGGAGTCAGGACTGGTGCTGGTCTCCACAGCACCTTCCTGTGCACTAGAAAAAAGCCCACCCTCTGCACCGTTGCGGCTGCTTGGGCAGATGGATGGCTTGACAAAAGCAGCTCAGGCTGGGTTCTAGGCCTCCCTTGCCCACCCAGCGGGGAACCAGCCATAACGCAGAGCACACACAGCACAGCTACAAAGCAGCCCCAACTCACGTGTTTTCCTCCCTTTTAAAGACTCCTTCCTTAGGGAATTGAGGGCAGCGAATGAAACTGGGGGCTGTTACATCTGAGAAAGGCGTGAGTGAGATTTCTGTTGTGTTGGGTAGTCAGTTAAGAGACTTCCTGATATTTCTTTCCACGTGGGAAAGTCTTAGATTATCCTCTGATACATCAGATTGTAATTCTTTGTAGTTGGTTCTCATTACAGATATTCAACGTGGCTTGTGTATAGTTTAATACATGATCATTAAGTTGCTTAATTGGTTAGTTTTTATTGAAATTTAAAACTTGGGTTTTTTATATGTGTATATATATATGTGTACACATATATTTTTTACCATATGAAAACTTGCAGTAGCTAATTTTCTGATTTCCTATTTTATAATGAAGTTACGTGGGCTGGAAAAATATAAAACATTTTATATTCTAGAAATAATTTATTTTGGAAGTACATTTTTATAATGGTCTGATCTCATTTTTAGAAAATGAAAGCACAGTAAGTGATGGGTCTGATTTATATGAACAAATGGGAGTAGAAACCCCGGTGGATCATTGCAGTACAGTATTTAGTCCCGGTGCATTTCTAGATGGTGCTTTTTGGGAACTGGATTGTGTGTACCGCTTCAGTACATAAAGGAGAGCATTCTTAAGTTTTATCCATGCGTAGATCTGTTATTCACTCCCCACCCCAGCCCCCATCATGAAAGAAGGCTCTTAAGGTGTTGAGAGGTGAAGAAAAGGCTGTGCTTTATTATTTTTCTCCTTCTATACCTCACTGCTTAGTAGCATCTTTCCTGAAAGGCTAGACCATGACCTTTCAGGAAAGATAACCATGAATCAGGTCAGAGTGTTAAGTGTCAACATGAAACATTTACACTTTGCAGCATCAACTGTTTTTCAAGTATTACCTAAAACTCAGCTTATGTACTTGTACAGAGGAAAATTTTGTGAGTAGAATATGTAGCTAGGTTTTTTGAGATTTCCAGAACTACAGTACTTTGTAAGGAATTCAGAGGGCTCCTGGAAGTCATAAAAAAAAAAATGAGAAAGCAAAAAATGGCTGTCTTCCCTATATAAAGAACTTTAGAAAATAGCTTGTTAACATGTAGCTTAATGTCATGAAACGAACAAAATTGGAGAAGGTAGGGGCAGAACTGTGTTGAGTATTTGTCTACTCTTTCTTACCTTGATTTTGAAGGGTCTCTACTCAGTAAATGTTACTCATAGTACTTACTACTAAAATCATTTCTAACTTATTTTTTAAAATAGGTTTTCTTTGGGGGATAAGAAATGAGACAACATTGTTATATTTATGATATGACAGTGAATTTTTTTTAAAAAAGTATACTCAAAATAGATTCTGTTTTACTCAAGTTTTTATCCCCAGTCCGAAACACTTTGTGAGCCCCACTCATGGGCCAAGTGCTCTTGGTTAAGCTAAACTGAACACGATGTATTAACCCTCAAAAGTTCCATCCCTCTTTCTTAAGCCACCCCAGAAAATGAAGACGTGATGCCACTCAGCCTTTGGAATAACTTTTGAATCTGTTAACGTCAGTATGAACAGAAAACAAAACATTGCATAACATGTTTTAAGCATTATTAAAAAGTCCTGCATTAACAGTTTGTGTGTCTGCTGCTCTGATTTTGAAACACGTATGTATATAGATAGAGAAGTTGGCATAAATTTTGTTAAATAAAGCAACTATAAAATTTTCTCTGTTCTTTCATTTCAAATGTTAAGCAAGTTGGCTATTAATTATACAGCCTGTCTTGTGTGATATATTTCTGAACCACATAAAGGCATCATTCTACATAATACAGGCGCTTTGAATTCCATAAAGGTATATTTTGAATTTGATGCACTGCTGGTTAACTAAGCATACCCTGAAATGAGGCCAGGTAACTTTGTTTTGCTTTGGCTTACATTCACAAGAGATGAGATGCTGGTTTGGGCAGCAGTGGCGATTTTCATGCCATGGTCATGTCATCAGAGAATGTGTGTGGGTCCTGCCCTCCATGTGTAGCCTCTCAACTAAGTGGGGCCTGGGTGGAAGAGTTTCCAAGTAGTCAGTGAGCCTGCTGGGCCATTTGAGTGTAATTGCATGGCTAATGCCATCTATCCAAATACCATTGATTGTTTAAATCTGATTCTACACATACTTCAGAAGAAAGAGTATGAGGATATTTGGAGAGGGGCATTCAGTCCCTCATCTCATTCCCAGCACCCAAGGAGTCCAAAAAAGAAGAGCCTTAGACTTCAGTTGAATATTGGCAAACCCTAAGGAAAAGATAAAGAGGAGATGATAGGAATTGCTGAAATTCACCAATTTGGCTTATTTAGTATCTGAGTTGAGATGAGTCATCCTCTAATCCTATAGATCTAGTCTAACAACCTGTCACCTTTGGCTGGTTATTTAGGGGAGTAGCAATCAGAGAAGGCAGCAGAAGCCTGAAGGGGGATTTGTATCGGCCTGGACTTCAGGGCTGGCTATAGTGTGACTAGAATAGGGGAGGGGCAGAAACTGACTTCAAGGCCAAAGAGCTGGGAAATAGCAGTCACTAATCCACCTTTTATCGTTAAGAAAACTTAAGCTCGGAAAGGTTAACAACACCTGATTCACCAGGTTTACATGAAGATGAGTAAAGTAATGGATAGGACCGTGTTTTGGCAGGAAGCACTGATACCCTTTGTATCAGTAAAGCTGATACAAAGGGTATCTGTAAAGCTCTTTGCTTTACAATATATAGAGCCTTTTCTTGCCACAGGTGAGGCTCAGCATGCGTTGCTTTCCTGAGGTTCCAACGTGTATCAGGCATATTCATTGGGATGAGACACCGTATTTGGAGTTAGTCTTAGAGCAGTGCTGTCCAAGAGAAATAATATCCATATATGTAATCTTGACTTCCTACTAGCCACATAAAAGAGTAAAAAGAGCAGATGAGATCAAATGTTTTATTTGACCCAATACATCTAAAATACTATTTAAGCATTTTTCAATCTCAACATAAAATCTATTGATATTTTCTCTAAAAACAGAGTGTGTATATAATATATATATATATTCTATATACACACTTTTTTAAAGTCTTCAGAAATCCGGTATATATTTTAAACTTAAAGCATTTTTCAATTCTGATGCTAAATTTTCAGTTAAAATGAGATGTAGTCCTACCAAAACACTTAAGTTGTGTTCAGTGGAAAGAATTTACACTGCCTCAGTTTTTTTAATTAAATTAGAAATTCAGGGAATTCCCTGGCGGTCCAGTGGTTAGGATTCTGTGCTTCTACTGCAGGGGGGAATGGGTTCAATCCCAGGTCGGGGAACTAAGATCCCACAAGCTGCGTGGTGAGGCCCCCCCAAAATTTTTTTTAATAAATTAAAAATTCAGTTCTTCAGTCACCCTAGCCACATTTCCAAGCGTTCATTACCCATATGTGCCTAGTGTTTATTGAATAGGACAGGACAAGGGAAAACATACTGTATTGTAAATATTAGCCTACTTGTCTGGTTTTCTGGATCAGAAGGATCGGGTTTCATTTATGTGTCTCTAAAACTAGGGCAGGACTTCCCTGGTGGCGCAGTGGTTAAGAATCCACCTGCCAATGCAGGGGACACAGGTTCCATCCCTGGTCTGGGAAGATCCCACATGCCACAGAGCAACTAAGCCCGTGTGCCACAACTACTGAGCCTGCGCTCTAGAGCTCGTGAGCCACAACTACTGAACCCACATGCCACAACTACTGAAGCCCGCACGCCTAGAGCGTGTGCTCGGCAACAAGAGAAGCCACCGCAATGAGAAGCCCGCACACTGCAACTACAGAAAGCCCGTACACAGGAACAAAGACCAAATGCAGCAATCAATCAATCAATCTATAAAATAAATAAATAAAACTAGGGTAGGCTAGGCTAGGTTTCACTCACTTTTAGGGAATGCCAGTTCTGCGCCAGGTTCTGTATTAACGCCCAGCAAGCAGTTTGATTTCTAGATCTATCTATACCTTAAAGAAATGGTTGCACATGTGACTTTTTGAGGTTATTATTTACTTTGCAACCTTAGTTGGTCAACCAAACAAACGTTTATTTCTCATTCACACTGTATCCACGGTCTGTCAGGGACCCAGTCTGCTGGAGGGGCCTCTCTTGTAGCTGCACCATCTGAACCACTTGGGCTTCTCCATCACCATGACAAGGAAAAAACAGGAGAGGGTCTTGCATGGGTGGAAAACAAGGCACAACACTTCCCCTCATAACCCACTGCCCAGAAGTGGTCACACAACCTTCCAAAGGGGCTATGCAGCCCCACTGTGCACAGAAGAAAAGAACAGCCTATCAACCACTGATGATTTCTGACCTGCTGGATTGTAGGGTGAGTGCTGGAGGTGTGTGAAGGGCAGCTGCTTGTGCGGAAGGCAACCTGCCAATCTGATGGTTGTGAAATGGTAACAGTCTGCTAAGAGTTGGTGAAGGTATGGAGAAACAGGAACCTCAACATACTATTGGGCAATATCTAAACTTGAAAAAGCAGTGTATTGCTTTTGTTTGCATTTCCCTGATCCCTAGTGAGATAGTATACTTTTGCAAATGTTTATTGGACATTTTCATTTTCCATGTATGAACTGCTGGTATTCCTTACCATTGAACTATTTATTTTAAACTTTTAAAAGACAATATAGACACTCCTAAAAATCCATAAAGAAAAAAAAATGGTTTCCTTTAGGTTTGGTGCTTCTCGTGCTTTATTTTAGAAATTCTTCCTTACCTTGAAGTCAAAAAGATAGTCTATCCTACCTTGAGGTCAAAAAGATAATAAATTTAATATTAAAAATAAACTTCCATACAATAGTGGACATAATAAAATACAAGCTGTCCGTTATAGAGTTTGTAAAAATCTTTTTCAAAAGGATCCAGGTCCAATTTTTTTAATATGAAACAATAATACCTGAATCCTATTAGATTCATATACTCAGAAAAGTCAGTTCCAGGTGAATTACTAACTCAGTCGTCCTAACACCCATTATCGGGAGTCTATGCTTGTCTCCCTGCGTGTAACACTCCCTCCATATATGCAGGTTCCATATCTGTGTGTTTCTATGGCGGGGTCTCCGTGCTGCTGCATCACACTGTTTCTTGTGATCTTCAAAGTTAATTCGAATGAGACGGTTTACCATTGACAGAGGTATATACAAAATGAGAAGACTCTTCCTAGAAGATATTCTAAGGCTATTCTTGGCCCTTTGCTATTTCATGTGCATTTTAAAATCAGCCCACCAATCCCTGTCGAGATTTTGATTGGAAAAGCATGGATCTTACAGATGCATTTGAGGAAGATTGGCATCAGTGGTAACATGTGACTACCATTTAGTCTGATAATTGGTTTGAAAATGTAATAGAAATAAAGTTGTGCCGGACAATAATGTTTTATCATTTATTCCCTTTCTTTTTGAGAAAAGTTCTCAGTCACAGTAACAATAAGAACTATAGTTTGCATAATCAGCCATGAAGGAGGAAGAAAGAAAGAGAATTCTAAGAGGTTAGCAAAATTGCCAAGTGCAAATTCAATATTTTAAAAATCAGTTGGGTTCCTGTACATCAGCTCTGATAGGAATGCTCCTCTCACCTCTTCTGTTCAACAGTCTAAGAAAAGTCCTAACCTACGTCATAAAAAACTAAAAATTAAGATTGAGATCCTTGTATTTTCTACGTAAACAATAGATTGAAGCTTAAAAGAAAGACGTGGGAAGTGACAAAAGTTCTTTAGAGTTTCAACATTCCATTTAAAACATAATTTTTGCCTCAGGTTTTTGGAAGGTACATTTTATCAGCTTAAGGCAATTCCCTTCTAACCATAGGGCTTTTTTCCAAAACTAAATTTATATAACATGTTTGAGTTAATTTTTTCTTGAAAATCCTGATGTCGTGTATTATGACATTTTTCTCATGTTAAATCTTCCTCGTATCCCTGGGATTCTTTACATGTATACACTGCTGAGTTTACAGATTTAATACTAGAAGCATTATATGAGTGATATTGGTCTGTAATTTCCTCTACAATTACTGTCCTTATACCATCTTTACTATTATAGAATGGGTTGTGTCACTTTCCCTATTTCTCCATTTGACGCAAATTGTCTCAGAGGAGAGAGATCAGTTGGTCCTTGAAGTGGTAAGCCATCTCACCAGTAAAAACATCTTGGACAGGCATCTTTAGCAGAGAAGGAAAACATGGATGGGAGAGGAGAAGTTTGGAAAGTCTCAATACTGACTTGATGTCTGTAATGATTATATACGTTTTCAGGTTTTCCATTTCTTATTAAGTTGACTGTGCTACTCCTTTCTGTTTAATTCCATATTCCTAGAAAAATGTAAACAGTAGTCATGTCCTTTTGATGTTTAAATGCAAGTAGAATGATGCATCTTATATTATTACATGGGACACACAAATCCATGTGCCATTGTGTACAGAAAGTGCATTCCCCATTTACGGAATGATTTAACAGAGGTGGTAAAGTCAGTCTCTTGAGAAGGTGTGCATTAAATTGTTCTAAAAAGATTTCATTCAGTTCATGAATGGAGCCCATGAAACCTCAAAAACCAAGGTTTTATTCATCCTGGCCATGCTTGAGGACGTGTCTTTATATGGGTTAAGAACAGAACTAGAAAGGAAATGGTGCTTTTCAGGGAATGAACCTTCACCAAGTTGTAGGGGACAGT